TAACAATTCAATAACGCATACGAAATCCGGCAAATCTGTTATGTAACGTCATATTTTCCACCCATAACATGAAGGAAAATACTTTGTACCATTTTATGGACTTAAGAGATTCTTCCTCCCACTCGCAGAGGGTCCTCTTGAGGAGGACCAAACTATTTGGAAATGTTTGTCTTCTACAAATTGGGCCAGCTTGTTGCTCAAATGTAATATATCCTTATTTAATCGCGGCACTAAAGCCTACGTATAGTTCCATCATAATTCAACGTAACCTGAGGATTATTTCAAGTTGTCAGGAGGTGCCTGAGACGCATGGGATGTGGATCTGGACGGCCAAACCTGTCATCTCTCTGTACGTAAATCAAGGCCTTTCATTTCTGAGTTACCACACCTTAGAGCAAAATCCTCTGGAGAGCTTTGAAATGTCCTCCTGCATTGTGTCACTGGATCTGAACAGGCAAACAGGACCTCGCTTAAATGTCTCATCCGAAGGTCAGCACTTCCAACAATGCAGAGCGCCCCCAACACTGTATTGGAGGGTCAGCCGAGATTGTGAGTTCAAAGTCCTGACATGGGGCTTAAACCCACAGCCTTCTGACTCAGTCAGATACCGACTGGGCATCCTACCCTCACCCGTCTCCACGCATGAGCACCTTAATACTAATCATAATCCTTTTGATATGGAGCCTTATCACATTGTTGAGAGGTCTCAAAGCGCTTCACAGAATATAATGTAAAATATTTGTGTCTTGGTGGGCGAAACATGGAAGTAGTGTCCCACAAACAATTGTGGATCGAGTTACCACATTTTTGGGTGGAGGGATTATTACCCCCGGAAAGCAATCCACCAATCAATCAACTAACAACCGGGTTCCAACTTACTGCTAGGTAAACAGAGATGTGTGAAGTAAGGTTTTGCCCAACTTGGGAATCAAACCTGGGTCCTTCGCTTGTGAGGCTAGCGAGTAAACTGCCTTCCAACAAGGGCTCTTGACAGCGATCAGGATCAGGCTTATTTGCCCTCTCTCTAGCCCAAGGTGCGCTGTTGCCAATTGTAACCCAGTTGCCGTCGCGACTGACACTCAGCATAGAGCAGGATTCAAACATGGGTCCTTCCAGCCTCTATGGCTTTGTGCCGCCCATGAGGGGGCTCAGGGGAGAGGAACACAGAAACAAACTCCCATTTCCATCCTCGCTCCCATCAGCCCTGACAGACAATAGAAGCAGGTCAAAGACACCTTCTGCAGGTAATGGGCGGGGTGGGGGGTAGTGTATGTGGGGGGGGAACAATACACAGATGCACAGGATAAGCAGGTTAAAAATACTTCAAACAATAAGCTTGGAAAGGTTTTGTGCCTCACAGGCTGGTGCACGCTTAATCTTGAGCTCTGTTTGTTTAACGCTAATGGCTACATAGGGATGTCACAGAGTTGCAATACACTGACAGTAATTAACACCCTGTGTGGCATCTGAGAACAAGATAAATCAGTTCTGCCGATCCGTCAAATACTCAGCGTGTGATGAGGCCAATTACCTTCACCGTGCCTTCTCCAGGCCCAAAGCTCCGAGTGAGAATAAAACACCTCGCTGCATTTTGCCCGAGTTGGCACTTTACACACATTTACACTAAATTTCTGGAGATTTCACAGAATTTCATGTAGATTTGACAGAGATGAATATTACAGTAATAAAGCTACTCAAAAACATCAGGAATATCTTGATCGCTGCAACCTTTGATATAAATAATTTAAAATAGCTTTGAGACATCTCGAAGACCCGAAAAGGCACTATATCAAATGCAAATAATAATAATCCTTGCACTTGATATAGGGCCTTATCACTTCTTTGAGACATCTCAAAGAGCTTCACAGAATATACTGTAAAGTGAATTGACTGAATATGTTATGGGCGAAATGCTTGGATTATTGTATTATTGTAACCGTCACTGCAAATGGGAGTATTGGTTTTGTATCTATATCGAATGCAGAAGCAAGAAGTTGGGCTACAGTTGGACTAGCAGTCACCCTTAATGAACTTAAAGGGAACCCCATTATAGAAATGTTATAAAACAACAGAAAACGTGGATTAACTAAAATGCTGCTAGGCACGTCAGGTTTTAGCTATGAGAAAATGTCGGGGCTTTTTTTTCTACTAAAGTTGAGAAGCTTAAGCGGTGATCTGACAGAGAGATTCAAGTTTAGGAAGAGTTACAATCTGGTAAAATTGAGTAGATTGCCTCCAATGGTTGGTGATTTAGTAATCAAGAGTAACTTCAAGAATTGGAGAGTAAGTTGGAAAAAATGTCTTGAAGGAGATGTTTGGTTGGAAGTTGGAATTCTCTGCCAAGAACCATTGTTAAAACAGAGTCCATCAACTCTATTATAAAGGGGAATGAGATACTCCACAAAGATACACAGCAATCATCAGGGTATAGGGAGTCAGCAGGGGAGTAAGACTAGAGACTAGGTGAATCATGTTGCGAAACTTACCAGTGTAGACATGATGGGCCAAATGACCTGTTTTTGACCAGCTGGGTCTGCAAAGACTCTATTAAATCAGCATTTCAGAATATCCAGAATTTGGCAAAATGTTCAATTCAGTCTGAACTTCGAAGCCGTTTTTCTGCAGATCTCGAAAAGAAGCTTACAGAAAAACTGCCTTGAAAATTGAGTTATAATTTAGATATTTGCCAAATTCTGGTCACTTAAATACTAATCAAATAGCCTAGTCCCCAGGTGCAATTTCTATTTGATTCTGAAGTGTATACTGTATAAATAACAAATGTATTTTAACATCAAAATGAAACATTTCAAAACCCTGGTGACCCCTGCAATCTCGTTTTCTTTCTATTGTCTCAAATTTAAGATCGGAGCTTAGTATTTTATTAATTTTCTACATCTCTAGGCTGATTTAATTTATCGTCTCTCCCTGAACACACTGTTCCCTGTTGTTAAGGTATCAATGCACAAATTGCAATATGTTATGCCTCACAAGTTGATTTGAAATGTGCTGAGTCGCAGGGCAGACTTTATTTATCTTGTACCAAAAAACAGAGAGTCATTGCCAACTTTGCTGCAATTTTCATAGCTAACTAAAAACTGTTAACCCTGCAAGTAGGGTGGTCCTAGCTGGACAAGCAATGGGAAGCTTAGCAGACAGTGCTCTCAATGGTAAGCCATGTAGTTTTAGCTGGTTGAACCCCAATTGGCCCTCAAAATGCATTCTGGGGTCCCAAGCATTGGCTTTCGCTACCCTGAGCCAAATACCATCCATTTTCACGTCTTCTAGATGTCTCAAAGCACTTCACAAAATATACTGTAAAGTGAATTGACTGTATATTTATGGGCGAAATGTGGCAGCCAATTGCACACAGCAGCGTCCCACAAGCAGTCGTGGATCGAAGTAACCAAATTATTATTCTTTTTCCTTGAGGGATTATTATCAGGCGTGTGAAGTAAGGAAACTTGCCCAAGGTTTTGCTCTGCTAGGAATCGAACCCAGGTCTCTCACTTGCGAGGCGAGTGCTCTAACCACTGAGCTGCAGGACTCCGCCTTACTCACTACCCTACTCATTAGGGCTTTGGCTTATAAGGTTGACCCCAAATGGGAAGAATCTACCCCCAGCCCCTGTGTTGCTTGGAGTTTGTAGGCTTCACACACGTGAAACTTGCAAAGTGAAAGGGAGCTGATGAAGTGATGGACAAAGAGGGAAGTGAAAAAAAACTGATCCAGTTTGCTGGCACAGTGACCTCAGCTAAAACCTTAACTCACTTCCAGATTGCCTAACCCAAAGGCCTGGTCGTTATAGCGATGGATATTTGAGCCAGTCGCCTGCCTGATTTTGCATCAGCAACTTTTTTTACTGTGAGATTCTGCCCAGATACCACGATGATGAATAGGAATGATTTATTTTTACGATGACAGCTTGAAATCATCATTTTCTTAAGTCAGCCTGGCTCAGTCGGTGACACTCTCATCTCACAGGTCAGGAGATCACAACGTTAGCTCAGTTCAAGGACGTCCTTTGGCCCATCTGATCTCATCCTTCCAGAATACCCACCCTAATCATAGAATCATAGAATTATACGGCACAGAAGGAGGCCATTCAGCCCATCGTGTCTGTGACGGCTCTTTGAAAGAGCTCCCAAATCAAATTAGGTTACGAGGACCTAATAGAGGTCTTCAAAATCATGAGGGGATTTGATAGGTTAGAAAGGGAATACTGTTCCCACTGGTGGGTGTCGGTGACTTGAGGTCACAGATTCAAAATAGTCTCTAAAAGAAGCAGAGGGGAGAGGTGAGAAGAAATTTTTTCACGCAGCGAGTTGTTCGAATCTGGAACGCATTGTCTGAAAGGGCGGTCGAGGCCGATTCGATAATAACTTTTAAAAACGCGGTGGACGGTTATTTGAGGAGAACGGGTTTGCAGGTTATGGGGAAAGGGCTGGGGAGTGGGACATTGCATTGCTCTTTTTAAAGAGCCGCACAGACTCGATGGGCCGAATGGCCTCTTTTTGTGTTGTATGATTCTATGATTCTATGTCCTCCAGATGAGATGTTAAAACAAGACGGCGTCTGGCTATTCAGGAGGACGTTAAATGCCCTGACATTCCATAAGGGAAGGAAGTTTCTCCTGGTATCCTGACCAGCCAGCAATCGTCAGGGTAAATCGGGCATTCACCTCATAGTTGTTTTACATGGGGTAGCGTCCTGGAGTGCTTATAAAGAAATTCATAAAGATTCATAAAGAAATTCATAAAAATTAACCATTCCTAAAGAAAGAAGAGGATCTCGGTTAGAACCATTGACATTTTGGCGCAGAAGAAGGTCATTCTGCCCATTGTGTCTGTCCTGGACTGCTGTGTATGTGTCTGTTCTGGCTCTTTTGAGAGCAATCCTTTCAGTCCCATTTACCTGTACTTTCCCCACACCCCTGAGGTTGAAAATAGACCCTGTTGCATTGAGAAGAAATAAAACTAGGGATAGAGGGCAGGCAGTCTTACTCTAGCACGGAGAGCGTAGCAGCCTCGGCGTGGTAACGATAGACCAGCAGACAGCAATTGAGACGGAGCAGACTTCCTCCCTTCCGAAGATTTTCATAGAAGAACAACAAATCTTCAGGAACGCCCTGGAGAAACGCAGCAAGAAGAGAACCGCGTGTTGGTATCACAGACACCTTATAATCCTGACAGTGCATTCTGCTCAGAGACTATTATTATTATTACCTTGAACTAGGTTGTCAAGGGTCAAGTGGAAATTGAATTCAGGGAGATTGGTGTGAGGTCTGAGCTTAGAGTATAGCAATTAGAAACAGGATTAGTCCCTCCAGGTAGATAGTGTGCATTCTATTCCAATACACGGAAATCTCCATGTGTAGGTGGGATAATAATAACCTGTGATAATTCTTGCAGTTGATACAGCGCCTTATCAAGTCGTTGCGACGTCTCAAAGCGCTTCACACAATATACTGTAAAGTGAATTGACTGTATATTTTTACGGGGGAAACACGGCAGCCAATTGCTTACAGCAGCGTCCCCACAAACATTTAGGTTCAGTGACCAATTTTTTTTGGCAGGGATTATTACCCACTGAAAGCGATCACAAATCGGCTAAGAACGGGGTTCCTACTTACTGCTAAGTAAACCGAGAGGGTGTGGAGTAAAGAAATTTACGTAAGGTTTCGCTGCGCCCAGGAATTGAACGCGGGTCTTCTTGCTTGCGAGACAAGAGCGCTAACCAATATGCCACGGGAGCATCGTGAGGGGGCTCCATGTGTGTCACCCAACAAACCCATTTTTCCAGAATGTCCCCCTACCATCCTCTATTACACAGCATCAAGCTGTTTGTTAATTGGATCCCGGCCTTTACCACTCTTCCTGGTAACTTCTTCCAGCTGGGGATTAGACATTTCCTCCCCAAACATTTTTCGTTATTAATCACTTAATGCACCGAAAGGCTGGCCAGAGATTTAATCAAGAACATTTTAAAGAAATTTAGGTACGTGAGTGAAGGGAGGAAGAGTATTAGAAGAATGGTGAGAGGACAAGGAATTGGGATTAGGATAGATAAAAATAATATAGTCTTTACATTTGGTATATCTCCTTTCATGCTGGGAGGGCATCTCAAAAGATTTCACAGCTTTTACTGTAAAGTGAAGTGACTGTGTGTTTTGAAGGTGAAGGTAGCAGCCAATTTATGTACAGCAATGTCCCCACAATGTCCCGATTTATTTCTGTAGGGCTTTGATTAGGGAGAAACACCCTTCTCTTTTCAAAAAGTGATACATGATCTTTAACATCCACCTGAACAGGTAGACAGGACTGCAATTTAACGTCTCGTGAAGGACGGCACCTCCAAACAGTACAGCACGCTCTGTGGAGTCCTTTAGCTCAGTGGTTAGAGCACGTGCTTCGCAAGCAAGACACCTGGGTTCGATTCCTGGGCAGGGCAAAATGTTGGGCAAGTTTCCTTACTCCACACCCCCCTGTTTATGTAGCAGTAAGTAGGAATGTGGTTGTTAGTCGATTGGTGGTGGCTTTTCCGGGGGTAATAATTCCTTCAAAATGAAAATAATTTGGTCGCTCAATCCACGACTGTTTGTGGGACACAATTGGCTGCTGCATTTCGCCTAAAAATTATACTTTACAGTATATTCTGTGAAGCGCTTTGAAACGTCTCGAAGATGTGATAACAGCAAGATTACATTTGTATAGCGCCTTTCACGTCGGGAGGATGTCCCAAGGCGCTGTATCGAATGTAAGGATTATTATTATTACTCACAAGACTGCATTGGAGTGTCAGCCTGGATTATGTGAGTACAAAGTCTTGAAGGCTTGAGCACACTAAGTTCTGACTTGGAGGCTAGAGTGCCACCAACTGAGCCAGGCTTTCCAAAGAAGGAAACAGTGGAAGTAACTCTTTTGTTCTGGCAAGGGAAACTGGCAAACAGAAAGCTTTGGGAACATTTTCTCGCTCTCCCACACATGCTGTATCTCATTCTGGAATATCCAGGTGTTTTTTGTTGCTGGCATGGTGCTGATTATGTGACTTTCTATTTATCGCAGTGCTGACTGCAGAGTGATTAACTCACCGATTTTAACTAACGTTAAAAGAAAATTGAAAAAGAAAGTTCCTTCCTTCATGATAAAATGTTCAAAAAAAATTCCTGGCAACTAAAAGTTCGACCTTCAAAAGCATCACCTTGCACTTTTAATGAATAATGTTTACTCTGCATTTTAACCATTCTAGACTTGATTTTTTTTGGGGGGAGGGGGGATAAAAACCCAAAACATATTAGATTCCAGACTTTCTGCTGCTCTGGATTTGTTTGGGATCAATGGAAAAGGCAGTAGCAGATTCTGAGATATTCATCTCCCAGATAAAAAAAGCATGGTCTCTCACTTCACTGCTGTTTGCAGAGCAGTGCTGTGCGCAGAATTGGATGCCTACATGTGTAGGCAATCACTGCACTTTACAGAAAATCTCTGTGCAGCCCTTTCTGATGTTTCAATATAATAATAATAATCCTTGCATTTGACACAGTGCCCCATCACGTCTTCTAGATGTCTCAAAGCGCTTCACAGAATATACTGTAAAGTGAATTCACTGTATGTTTTGTGGGCGAAACGTGGCATTCAATTGCACACAGCATTATTATTATTATGCACTCACTTTACCACCTTCATCGAGCTTCCCGACGTTGTCAAACCAGTCTCGGGAACAGAACCAGGTTGGCATTATCACCGTGGGGCCATGGGATGTATACACCTGCCGTGAAGTAAAAATATGTGGGGTTAAATAACTGAATGGTGAACAGCCTATTCCTAAACCCCCACCACTAATAATAATTACAATAATCCTTGCATTTGATGCAGTGCCTTTCGTGTCCAGGAGGATGTCTCCAAGTGCTTCACAGGATACAATTAAAGTGTAGTGACTGTGTAATCTTGTAGGTGATCTCAGCAGCCGATTTGCAAATACCAATCAATGTCCTACAAACAGCCATGAGGTGACTGACAGAGTTTATCTGGGGGATTGTTGGTAAAGAGGAGAATGTTACATTGTTAGAAGATAAGAACATAAGAACATAAGAATTAGGAGCAGGAGTAGGCCATTCCTGCCCGCCATTCGATAAGATCATGGCTGATCTATCCTAACTCCACCTTCCCGCCTTATCCCCATATTCCTTAATCCCTTTATCCACAAGAAATCTATCAATCTCAGTCTTCAATACGTTCAAGGACTGAGCATCTGCAGCTCTTTGGGGTAGAGAATTCCATAAATTCACTACCCTCTGAGTGAAGAAGCTTTTCCTCAACTCAGTGCGAAAGCTGTTAAGACTGTGACCCCCGGTTATAGTTTCTCCAACCAGGGGAAAAAGTCTCCCACTATCAATTCTGTTGCGCCCCTTAATAATCTTATAGGTTTCTATAAGATCACCTCTCATTCTTCTATATTCTAAATTGCTCAACCTATCCTCAGAACTCATTCCCCTCATCCCAGGTACCATCCTAGTGAATCTACGTTGTAACCCCTCCAAGGCGAGTACAGACTTTCTTAAATAAGGAGACCAAAACTGCGCACAATATTCTAGGTGCGGTCTCACCAGGGCCCTATACAGTCGCAGTCTCACTTATAGGACCCACCTCCAATAATAATAATTATAATAATTATAATAATAATACAATCCTTGCATTTGATATAGCGCTTTTCATGTCTTCGAGACGTCTCAAAGCGATTCACAGAATATACTGTAAAGTGAATTGACTGTATATTTGTGGGCGAACGCGGCAGCCAATTGCGCACAGCAACGTCCCACAAACAGTCATGGATTGAAAATGATCAATTTATTATTGTTTTGTTTTAGAGGGATTATTATTAGGCGTGTGGAGTAACGAAACTTGTCCAAGGTTTCGCCCAGGTGTCTCCCCTGCAAGGCGAGTGCTCTAACCACTGAGCTACAGGACTCCTTGCATTACAGGATAATGCAAGGCTTCCCCAATATTAGACTGGAATGTCAGCGTAGACTACCTGCTCAAAGCCCTGATGCAGAGCTTGAACCCACCACCTTTTGACTCGAGTTGAGTTGACCTACACACTGAGGCTGACACCTCCAAAATTCTCCCCCTTAAACCACCCCCCCCTCACCACCTCAGTACTGCTCAGAAGTGTTAGCCAAGACTGTGAGCTCAACGTCTCAACATGGGGTTGAATCCCTTTCCTCAAATAAAGAGTCACATGACATGTTTGACACAAGAGCAATACAGAGAAACACAATTTGGGAAACGTTAATTAACTTTGTGGAACAAATAGATGGACCGTGTCACGTGCAAATAATTAGTACAGAATGCAGGCAAGTTTACGCTATCTCAACATGGGTCCCACTGCACGGCTTGGCTCCCCCCACTCTTCTCCCCAAACCCCCCCCCCACCCCCAACTCCGGAAACAGTAAGTTACAATCCAACAGCATAAAGCCCGCAATTCAATTAGCGTTTGGTAAAGTCCAACCCCCCCCCCCCCCCGCCCCTCCACAGTAAGTAGGATTGCGAAGCAATGTGCCTCAAAGCTACAAGAACACCATTGTTTAGCTCACAAGGAGGATGCTGCGGACTTTATCAACAGTTGCCACACAGCGATGCCTTTGTGTTTGAGCAATGTGCTGGGATTGCTGTAATAACCATGTGAATGACGACTACAGTGAGGCTCATACACACAGGCTCCAATTACAACAGCAGCAGCTTGCATTTACACAGCACCCCCTCACACAAGATAGCGTCCCAGAGCGCTTGACAGTGGTGGAGCAGGACGCCGAGCCAGTGGGGAGGTGACCGTAGGCATGGTCGAACAGGAAGGTCTTCAGGCGCGACTTGACGGGGAAGGATGGGTCAAGACGGAGGGATAGAGGCAGAGTGTTCCAGAGCTCTGTGTGTAGTGGCTGAAAGTGGGGCCACCAATGATGGAACGGAGGGCACGAGGGACATGCAGAAGGCTGGAGCCATGTGAGCGGAGGCATTGGGATGGGGGGTATGCAGGTTGGAGAGGTAGGGAGGTACCTGGGCATGAAGGGATTTGAAAAAGAGTGAGAGGATCTTGAAATTGATCTGTTTGGTGATTGGGAGTCAGTGGAGCCTGGCTAGAACTGTACGGAAAATGGGGGTACGGAGTTTAGTGCAGGCGAGTATGCGGGCAGCAGATCAGCTTGATTAGCTCGCGTGTTCCAAACCATTTATATCATTGTGAAGCAATGTGCCTCAAGACGGCAATGAGCGCTAAATAGTGACTGGCGTCAGCTGGGATAACTTGGCATTCTTGCTTCTGGGGCAAAAGTTTTTTGTTTCAAGCTTCATGTTGCGTACTTTAAGCTCACGATCCAGGACGACACTCACTCCCTTCGTGGCGGTTTGTGGGATATTGCTGTGTGTAATTTGGCTGCTGCGTTCGCCTACAAAGTCACTACACTTCACAGTGAATCCTGTGTGAAGCGCTTTGAGTCTCCCTTTTCCGACGTGAAAGGCGTTGGATCGAATGGAATAAAATCATCATCTAATAAACTGGCAGAATGTGCTCGTAGGCTGAATGGCTTCTTCGTGCCCCCAGATTCCTATGAAAGAAGTTGAGTCTTGTTTTCCCAGTTTATGAAATTGCCTCTGTGTTCTCGCTGTGTAATTGCTACATTCTGCTTATGATCGACAGTGCGGTCGAGGCAGAAGGTGGTTGACATTTGAGGCTTTAACTCTCTTAGCCATTTGTTACTTCAAACTGGAGTGGTTTAAACAAAAGTTTATCTGCTGTGAAAACACCACTGATTGATAGTAAACACTTCAACTTGCTTTGAGATTGAGCACATGGGCAGGGAGAGAGGGGCTGCTCTCTTAAGAAGCAGGAACAAACAGTGGAGATAAGCCTGAGTAAGGCTGGGCTTAATTAGAGCAGATTTTATCAAGCTGGATTGTGTGTGGCTTTGCAACAGTGGAAGCAAACAAACGGTCCAGGAATTCCACATCAGTTACCAGTGGGGATAAAACCCAGACTCTGTGAATAAAATAATATTAATCCTTTGCATTTTGATGTAGTTAAGCTTTATCACGTTGCCAAGCCATCCCAAAGCACTTCACACAATGTAATATAAAGTGTAGAGACCGTGTATTCGTAGGGAAACGCGTCAGCCAATTGCGCACGGCTGTGTCCCACAGACAGCCATGAAGCACACGACTGACATTTTCACCAAAACAGGCAGGAGGGACCTCGGTTTAACGTCTCGCTCGAAGAATGGTACCTCCAACAAAAAAAAATTGATTGTATAAAGTAGTGGGTACCAAAAGCTGCATTCAAGTGGTTTGAGTTGATATGACGGGGTGCGCCCTGTATGGATTGTACAGCAATATATAAACAGAGAACAATATGTTGCCAGCTTTTCCAATGGCTTGGCGGGTACAGTTTGGGGCAGCAATGGAGAGGCTGCTCTTGGCCTCCGTGCTCCTCCCTTACAGAGAGGCAAAAGCACTCAGCCACGGCTCTGCCCATCGCAATTTGCAGCCGTGCAGTTATCAAGTGAACTCCAATTTATGTTGTGATTTCCAGAATATATTCATATACTCCAGACCACAACTGAATGCAGTCTGACCAGAGCACTGCAGAGACTTGTCGGATCTGAACTCAATTGACAATACCCGCCAGCATCCCATCGGCTTTGTTTGTTGCACATGACACTGTTGAGATATATTGAGCGATGAGTCAACTAACACTCCTAGGACTAGTTAAACTTCCCTCTTGGCAAGTCTTATCTCATCCACCAAACACCTGTAAACCAGTCGACTAAAGTGCAAGGTGCTATTGTGTAATATTCAGAATCATTGGAATGGACAAACTGATTCCTATCATCTATTCATGACGTGAGTGTAATTTTGAATGGATGAGTTGGGTTGGCAATGTGTGTTCCTTGTGTGTTCTTCGTCTTCTTGGCAGACAGAGGCTCGGAGCATCTGAAGCCAAGTGGCACTGAAGGATGCTGCATGTCTAAACATATGACAAAGAGATTCTTTAATCTGAGCATTGCCTTGTGCTGAAAGGTACAGTGCCGTTCAGGATTAACTTGCATCAAACGTTTACAAACCACATATTCTATATATATATAATATATATATATCCGACAAAATATTCTCAAGTTTGGTTTAACGAGTGGTAAGTGGAGAATCTCGGATCAACCCTCTCTACGCAAAACTATAATAATAATCCTTGTATTTGATATAGCACTTCATCATGTCCTTCAGACCTCTCAAAGCGTTTTACAGGAAACACTGTGAAGTGGATTGACTGTGTATTTTTGTGGGTGAAACACGGCAGCCAATTGTGCACAGCAGTGTCCCAATACTATTTTTTACTATTGCCTGCCTGCCTGCTTGCTTATTTATTTTTTTTCTTTTGGAAGGGATTATTAACCCCAGAAAGCGATCCGCCAATCGACAAAAAATCCAACCCCCCCCCCCCACCCCCAAACACCACCTCTAAGAGGTTCAATTCAATCATTGTAAATGTTTCACGCTCAGCTCTACCGGGGGAACAATGAGGACTTGGTTTCTCTCCTCCCAAGGGTTGTAAGTGGACTGTTTTTAACAGCTCGACGCCAATAAACCTTTTCACCGTGAAACGGATATTTACTTTCAGAGACGTCAGTCAGTCAGTGAGTCGGTCAGTCAGTCAGTCAACGTATTCTCTCAATCCCTTGAGCTAGGCATTATGAAGTGTAATTAAAGCAACCTCTCTGAAC